GCTGGGGGGCGGCGCCGGAGGACCGAGGGGCCTGCCGCGTCTCCGAGGGCAGGTCCTTGGGGGGAAACTCGGGGTACAGCTTAGGCGCCTCCTGCAGAGCGCCCCGCAGAGGCGTGGCCAGCCCCCGCTGCAGGAGCTCCAGCCTCGTGCGGACGTTCTGCAGCGTCTCCCGCATCTTCTGCTGCATCTGCCGGGCCGCCTCCCACTCGGGCCCCACGTGCTCGGGCCCCGCCGCCGACAGGCCCAGGCCGCGCAGCAGGTGCCCCATGCCCTGCCGGTAGTAGCCCTTGGCTTCCTCCTTCTGCCCCAGCTCGTCCGCGTTTAGCCCCTTGTTGACAAAGACGAAGGCCTTCTGGTAGGAGTCCCTGATGGCCTGGACCTCCGCAGGCTCTCCCTCTGCCGGCCCTGGCTCCATTCCTGCAAAAACAGGAAAGGTTCGCGTCAGCGGCGCTGTTCGGCACTAGTTTCGGTCTCATGACCACGCCCTCCCACCCGGACCCGTTCCGGGAGGACAGGAACCTCGCCTGTCGCCGACCACCACGACTGGATTCCCCAGCCCCGAGGCTGCCGCGGAGAAACACCCACTCATCTGTTGAACGCACAACGCAGTGGGCCCAAGACCCGTTGCTGTTAAACCAGGATCCGAACCTGAAGAGAGGAGAGCACAACGCCGTGCCCACCTGTCTCGCTCTGGTTTCTTGTAAGTGATGGAACAGCCATGGTTTGCAATCGTAGCAGCTGTTACGGTTGGAACCAAAGACTCTCCCTAGAAAACTCATGATAATGTAAACCCAGATCACATCCAGTTAACTAACAATCAGGTTGAAACACACAGAGGACAGAGCAGAGGCAAAAACCAATCGGCCCCAGGCTCCCACGCGAGCTGACACCCACAGGCGGGGAGGCCTGCTCCCAGCCCAGAGCTCCAGTTTGAACTGCCAGCCTGTTGGCTAACAGCTGAGCACTTAACCACTGCGCCACTGGAGCTCCTTAGTCTATGTTAATAGAGGTCAAAACAGTGAGTGACACGTGGGGGCAGATGTGGGTGGGACAGGCGGGGGCTTGATGGGGGGTGGGGTGCTGTCTGTCTTGATCGGGGTGATGACTGGTGGATACAAGAGTCACTGAGCTGAGGGTTTATGACAAGTGTGTGACAGGCACCGTACTCTGTTCTCCTTAAGAAAACAGACGAATAAAGCCATCCCCAGGCTCAGAGCGAGGGCAGGTGGTCAGCTGCACTTGGCTGGTTGGTTTCAAGAGGACCAGCGCTGCACTGGGGTTCTGGGGCAAGTTTACACAGCAGTCAGTCCCCACACAGACCGCCCAGGGCCGCTGCCTGCCCTTTGCGCGTGTCAGCGTTCCCTTTCATGCCCTTCTGGGAGTTTTGCCTGCGGCACTGCCTGGCCCCTGGCTTCGGAGTAACCACCGGCCAGCGGCCCTCATCCAGATGGGGCTGTACAGGTGCACGGTGGTCACTGGTGATATTTACTGTGTGAGCGGATGTTATTTCACTAAAAGGTGACCTCAGGGGTTAGTTTTGGTTCAAGGATTACAGTGTCTCAGGGAGCCCTCCAGACTCAACCTGCCCTGTAAGTCTGGACTCTGAGAACTTGGGCTGTGTCCCCCGTGTCTCCCGTTCTTTCAGGGCTCATGTGGGGTGCTCCTGGTCAGGATGGTGGCTGGGGGCCTGGTACGTGCAGGCCGTTAACTTCAGGGACTAATTTCTTCTGAGGCTCTGGTTTCTTCCTTCCTCTTTTGCCCAGGACGAGAAGAGACTAATAGTTGCACCTTAGATGCCTCTCCCAAAGTTTGAAGACCACCAATCCTACTCACCAAACTAGGAGGAGAACGCCAACCCCATGGACTATGTTACACCAGTCGGCCGAGATGTCCTACAAGACTGTGGTCCCAAGGCCTGAAACCCAGAAACCCAACCCTGTGGGGTGTCTGGTTACATCTGTGTACTCACAGCTTCCGCTGTGTTCTGCTGCCAAAGGAGACAGGCGCTAACTCAGGACTGACCTGACAGCAGAAGCTGACCCTGTCGGTGGGACAATCAGAGAAGCAGGCACATTCGTGTCACGTCACGGGACCTCCAGGCGCAGGGATGCTGGGCTCAGGTGTCACGTCACGGAACCTCCAGGCTCAGGGACGCCGGGCTCGGGTGTCACGTCACAGAAGCCCCAGGCGCAGGGACGCTGGGCTCGGGCTTCCTGTGGAAAAAGCAGTGAAGATGGAGGGGAAGGAAGCAGGACTGGCTAGAAGCCGCTGGCAGGCCCCCGATCTCCCCCAAACCGAGCATGCAGGACACTGCTCCGCCAGCCCCAAGAGACGATGGGTGTTCTAACTCAGGGACATGCCTCTGGCCAGAGCTGAGGCACAAGTAAAGGGGCCACGTGAAAAATGGGTGAGAACCGCAGACTGAGCGTGGCTCGGCCCAGCACTCCTCCTGCTCGGCTCCTTGGGTTCTGGCAGCCAGAGCCTCTCCTGAGAAGAGGCAGGAAGTGGCTTCCCTGGGATCGGGTCACCAGCAAGATGAAAGGCGTGAAAGTTGTGAGCATCGGGCAGGCACCCCATGGGGAACCACACTCAACACATCCAGCCCCAGGAGCCTCCGGTCGGTCTCCTGGTGGCTCAGCTGTAGATGGAAGCCCACAGCCAGGGACATCAAGACACAAGAGGCAGACACAGCGCGTGACAGACAGGAAACAGGCGGAGCGATGCAGCACGGCGGAAATGGGCGTCACACAGAGAAAACTCACAGACAAACGCGACTGCTGTGTTTATCAACATGAAGAAAAGAAAATACTGGACCCATAAAATAGGAGGATGAAAAAACAAACAAAACCCGTTCAAAGAACAAAATGAATGTTTAGAGATTTAAAAATAAAATGGTTGGAATGAAAATACAGGGATCAGATGATAAAGTTATAAAATCATGGCACTGTCCAGAAAGTGGAACAAAAAGGTTGAAAGAAAGAAAAAATGAGCTCTGGTGGTGCAGTGGGGAAAGCATTTGGCTGTGACTAAATGATCTCTGGTTTGACCCCCCCAACTGCTAAGGGGAATAAAGATAAGGGTTGCTGTAAGTCTGAATTGACTCAATGACAGTGGGTTAGGTTTTTTTTTTTAGTCTAAATCAAACCAAACCCACTGCCATCCAGTTGATTCTGACCCACAGCGCCCCGAGAGGACAGAGTGGAACTGCCCACAGGGTCTCCAAGGCTGTCAATCTTCACAGAAGCAAAGCCCAAACCACACCCACTGCCATGGAGTTCATTTTGACCCACAGCGCCCCTAGAGGACAGAGTGGAACTGCCCCACAGGGTCTCCAAGGCTGTCAGTCTTCACAGAAGCCCAAACCACACCCACTGCCGTGGAGTCACTTCTGACCCACAGCGCCCCTAGAGGACAGAGTGGAACTGCCCCACAGGGTTTCTTTATAGAAGCAGCCTGCCTCCTCATTCTCCCACAGAGCAGGTGGTGGGTTAAAACCGCTGAACTTTTAGTTAGCAGCTGAGTGCTTTAACTGCAGCGCCACCAGAATAACTGAGAACCAATCCAGAAGGTCCAAGATCTGATTAACGAAACAGCCAGCAACCAAGACGAGAGAAAAGAAAAGGCATGGAAGGGCTGAAAACCTATGCAGGGAATTTCCCTGGACGTGAAGACATGAATTTCCAGGTTTAGAAAGACCAGTGCACACGATTACAAAAGATCCACCCCAAGGGCATGTCATAAAATCTCAGAACTCTAGGTTCAAAGAGACCATCTTAAAATGAGTCATACGAGTAACAGAGCGCGAGGGATTTCTTAAATGTAGCAGTTGTTGTTGTTGTTGGCCGTCAGTCAGCCCCGACTCATAGAGGCCCCTCCTTGGGTTTCCCAGGCGGTTTCACTACGGAAGTAGATTGCCCAACCTTCTTTCCGAGGAGTGGCTGGTGGGTTTGAACCGCCAACCTTCTGGTTAACAGTCAAGTGCCTTAGGCACTACGCTACCAGCAACAGTGAAAAGTCAGAAGAAAACGGTGCATTCAGTCAGAATCCTGAATGACAACCAGCAACAAACCATACCACCCCAGTTACCATCAGGGTCCGGAGGCGGGGTCCTGGCTCCCGTCTCATGAAAGGAATCCCAAGACTGATGAGAATGTTGTCCCAAGACAAGCCAGACTGGTGCACGAGAAGGGACCCCAGAAAAGGTTTCAAGAAACGAAACCAAGAGACTACGGACACACTTCTCAGCTTTGAGAAGAGATCTTCACAACTGTGGGAGGACTTGGGGTTTGCTTAAGGGACAGACATACAGAAAAGAGAGGGACAGAACCCAGGGCAATCGGTAACTCCAGGGCAAACGAGGGCTGCGCTGGCCAGCAACGTAGCCCCAGGTGCTGCGTGGCACAGCGGGCAGCCCCTCATTCACGGAGAACCACCGAAGAAGTAAACACGGACGGGGAGGGGCTGTGCGCGCGCAAGGTGTGTGCGGGAGCTACGGACGAAAGCCGAACCCTCAGTGCCCCATGGACAAAGCCAAGGGGCAACACCCAAACCCGGAAATGACGATGCAGCAATGTGAGGGTACCATCTGGACCCAGAGACACCTCAAGAACTGGCTGCAGGGATCGCTACAAGCTGCCTGGGGAGGAGCGGGGGGGCTGGGGAGCTGGGACCTGGGACTGTCACTGCCAGTCTTATCCAAACCAAAACCATCCCACTGCCACGGAGTCCATGCCGACTCATAGCAACCCTGCAGGGCAGAGCAAAGCTGCCCTGTCGAGTCTCCCAAGACCCTCACCTTGATGGAAGCCCACTGTCTCACCTTTGGCTGCTAACGAAAAGGTGGGCAGTTTAAACCCATCAATGGCTCTGTGGGAGAAAGATGAGGTACTGTGCTTCCGCGAAGACTGACAGCCTAGGAGACCCTGTGGTGCAGTTCCACGCTGTCCTCTAGGGGCGCTGTGGGTCAGAATGGGCTCCACGGCAGTGGGTGTGGTTTGGGCTTTGCTTCTGTGAAGACTGACAGCCTTGGAGACCCTGTGGGCAGTTCCACTCTGTCCTCTAGGGGCGCTGT